CCACAGCATTCACCACAGTGGGTATCCCCTTCTTGAACTGCCGATGGGTTTCTTTTGCGTGTGGTGTATTTCGTTCGGGCTCTGCTCTGGCCACAATGCCCGGAGAGTGCGGAATTAGTACATGATAGGCTCTGTTTTGATCCGGGCAACCTACGGCACGATACGGAGAGGCTCACGCATCGCTATGAAAAAATTATTTTTATATTATTATATTCTACATTTATCACTAAAACAGAAAATGTATATATTTGTACTTATATTCGCAAATAAATGTTCTGTGGCTTAATATATGGTACCACTACAAAGGGCCATAATATACTGGTGAATAAAATGACCGCCGGATCTAGGGAGAGAGTATGTGAAGAGAGTGACATCATAGACTAAGCAACACAAGGTAACATATAGTTGATGAGAAGAAGAAGAAGAACATTTTTTGATTTAAAGTTATCATCGCCTAGCGGTAGCACGGCTGCCTTTAACTCCAGACCGCAGCCTTCGAAGTGGCAACGTCGCATGTGGTGTTGTAACAGCTGTTTTGTTTGGAAGCATATCTAATAGTATTATTTGTGTATTTACGAAAGATTGGTTACTGGACTACGACAATATTGACTCCGCTTAAAATGTACAGATATAGATTTTTAATTCATATTGTTTCGGTTTTCAATACTGTATGTTTTATTTTCAATAGTTTGATAAATTTATGTTCATAAATTTAAATTTAAATCAATAAAGTGCGAATTAATGAGCTGATGTCACGTGTCTGCCATGTTATCTATAGGACGTCAGACACTTAACAACACCACTTGCAACGTTGCCAATTCTACCAGGCCGCGGCCAGTAGTTAGAGGTGGCCGTGTCGGTAGGCTGTAGAAATATTTCAAGTGATTCTGTAGTTAACGATGTGGTAATAATGACGATGAAGGTGACCAAGGGAACCATCTTATCTTACCTCATGGTGGATGATCTTATCTCATCTAACAGGGCCAGGCCGAGACCATGAAGCACTTCATCCGAAAATCGAATTATTGCGCATCCCAGACAATTGTTTTCTTGACGACCTTACAAGTTCACGCGTCCGATGAATGCCTGTAGCTTCCCAATTAGTTCCTCCTCGCGAAGATATCTTTCTCTAGCCACATTTACTAAGAGTTATCATTCTAGCATCAGAGAGCTCGTCACAACCAAAGAGCAGGTGATCGACTGTCTCCTCTGACCTATCTGATTGGGTCACCATCAAATAAGCCCATCCGTTGTAAATGTTTCCTGAATAGTCCGCAAAAAGTTATCAGTTTTACAATTAATTTGATTCATCGCCTGTCTAGTCTCAAGATGTCAGAGGCAACCTTTTTAGAAGGCCTAAACAGAGTAAGCTTGCTGACCCTAAGAAGGGGAGTATCGACCCAGCGTTTGTGGTGCTCTCTTCTTTGGCCCATGACGCAATCGAAGAACATATGCACTATTTCTTGAAATTCCACAGGAGGGTTGTGGGCCTATCATTGTTGTCGCAGAGACAGTATTTGCCAGTCTGTTTGCAGCTTCATTTCCTTTAATGCCTGAGTGTCCAGGCACCCAGCAGAGCGTAAGATCATTTCTCCTACCCATCTCAGACACAGAAGCAAGGCAATCCCACACGAGCCTTGAGTTGAATTCCAAAGAGTTTAAATTTTAAGGAGGCTTGACTATCACTATAGATATTGATTGTTTTTCTGTAATCTCTTTGTTAAGATTTTCTTGAGCTCAATCTAAGATGGCAGTGACCTCCGCTTGAAAAACAGTTGGGTACACCCCCATGGGAAGACAAATGACAGTGCCTTCATTTATCCAATGCGCACCTGCTCCAGGGCCCCCATTATTGATCTTAGAACCATCAGTACAGCATTCTAAATCACCTGCGGGGAGGGGCCCTTTCCACCAGACCAATCCTTCATATCTGGTATTAGTACTTTGAAAGGCAAAGAGTATTTTTTGGACATGTGATCTGAAGGCAGGTCCAACTCATCATTGTGTACCACCTGAGCAATTTTGGAGTGCCCTTTATTATTTCATATGGTTATCCATAAGTTTTCGCATCTTAGGTGTAGGGCTGTTTTTCTTGCTACCACCTTGATAAAAATGTCGATGGGTAGCATATCAAACAAAATTTGTGACTATTTTATTCATAGTATTGGAAGTAGACTCTTGGACAGTGCAAGGAGTTTTTGGGTGGATTTCCGAGAGAGTAATTTTTGCACCCTTGATATAAACCCACTCCTATCTATATATTACTCCTCATTTATATGATATATTTAATTACTACAAACATATAAAATTGAACAAAGATTATAGAAGTAAATCAGGTATCATGGACAAGGCAAATGAAAGGTATAAGGGATATTTTTTGGGCGTGTTGAGCCCCCGGTGACCCTTCCGGCCCAGGGTGCTGGATGGGCGTGTTGAGCCTCCAGTACCTTTTTCCTTTCTCCGGTACAGGACGGGCGTGCTGAGCCCAAACTACTTTTACCTCTCCCCGGTAGGGGATGGGCTCGATGAGCTCCCAGTACTATTCCCTTTCCCCAAGTGCATGGGTGTGGAGCCCGCACTGGCTGGACGAGCGTGTTGAGCCCCCAGTGGCCCCAGCACTCTTTCTCTACCTTTCTCTTCGGTAAAGGACGGGAGTGCTGAGCCCCAAGTACCTTTTTCCTTCCTCCGGTACAGGATGAGCGTGTTGAGCCCCCAGTACCTTAGTGCACGGGCGTGTTAAGCCCGCACTGGCTGGATGGGCGTGTTGAGCTTCCAGCAATCCTTTGAATCTTCCCCATTTCACTCCGTGCAATAGTGGATAGTATATAATAGGAGTTTCTGTTTTAGGCTGGGCAGTTGGAGCCAGACAGCAGATGAGAGGTGACAGCAACGACAGGTTGCTCTCGGGGAGGTACTCCGTTGGGACATCACTCCAGAGGATCACCAGGAACAGTACGGTGTTGAGCACTGGAAGCTATACTAATAGTCGCCTCGGTACTGCAAAGGCCACCGAAGAAGACCCCCCACCTAAGAGTGAAGTTAATTGCTTTTGTGACCTTGGAGGAAATTTTGTAAATATTGTAAATAGTGTATAATAAAGCAGATCAGTTTATCGCAGTAACCAAGTTGTCACTAACCCAGGATAAGACCCTTGAGGAAAAAATAAATTCTTTGTAGGAAAGTGGAGGAAAGTTAAAAGGGAAAACTTCCTTACATAATTTTGGTGCCCGAACAGGGACTATAAAACTGAAAACTCAGTACTGTACAAAACGACTCAAGGAATTAAGAATTTTGAAAAAAGTTAAAGATTGGGAGGAACAAAGGACCGAGCTCCTAAGTTATTAATATTAGCCATTTGATACTTGCTTATGAAAATAATTCATTGTCATTCCCAGGAGGACCATACGCCAACATAATGACTGATTCAGAGACAGAGAGCATCTCGAGGAAACCAGACAGAATCCCCGAGTAGGATGGATCTACACCTTAAAGAAGGCAAAACTAATAGAGGAGCTGAAGAAATTCGGCCTTCCCGTCAGCGGCAACGTAAGAGACGGGAGGAAAACCCTATCCTAAAGAGGAAAGACGGGAGAATTTCCTAAAGGGAGGATACAGTCTCCCAGGACCTTCAAACAATGAGCCAGGAAGTAATGATGTAGCCGTGAGTACTACTGTAGTAATAACGTTTCAATATGTAATACTGTAAGAAAATGGAACCTTACTTGCAATGGGGGTAAAGACTTGGTGTTGTTTATAGAGAGAACTGAGGAGCTAAGAGAACCTTATAAAATTCCAGCCGATAACCTCTTACAGGCTCTCCCTGAACTTTTAAAGGGTAAAGCTCTGTTATGGTATAGAAATTCTAAAGATCTGTGGAGCACCTGGCAAGAATTCTTAAAGAACTTTGAAGCTACTTTTCTCCCTAAACGTTATAGAGAAAAGCTTTATATTGAGATCAGAGGGAGAACACAGGGGCCAAATGAACCCTTTCAAAATTACTTAGTAGCAACCCAAACGTTCATGAGGAGGCAAGGCCGTTTTAGCCAAGAGGAACAATTCCAACGAATTTATGAAAATATTTTTGGCTGAGTACAAGTTGTATGGGCTAAGAGGGAATGTATAAAAAATTACAGAACTAATCACTGCAGCTCTCACCCGTGCGGTACCGGGTTAGAATAGCACCACAGCCTTCTCGGGCTTGTCGTAAGAGGCGACTAAAATGGTGACCGACGTTCTCACTGGGAGTGCCTCTGTTGTGTTGCAGGGGTTGATGTGTGCTTTGCACTGCCGATGGGTATTCTCAGTGGGTCGTGAGAAGCCAGCCACTTCGGTCCTTGGTCAGGGAGTGCGGCATGGATGTAGCGGTCGGGCTCTGCATTGCGACGGGTGACCCCCGGCACGTCAGGTATCCGGTGCTGGGCAAACGGAGGTCGGGCCCCAGGGAACTGGGGTAGGGGCTTTTGTCCCCGAGGGTATACCCGTTCCTGATTGATTCCGGGCCGCTCCTTGCCGTACGATGCGCTGGAATAAACACGATGGCGTTTAGTACCCACATAAACACATTTTCGATCAAAAGCTCAAATGAGCAGGAAAAGAAGTTGGAAGTGGAGCGGAACCCTTTTGTTCGTAGCTCCAAGGTTCAGAGATCCACACCACCAAAAAACGTGAGGACATCTCCGCCACCTGCACCTTTCAAATGCACTAAGGAGTTCCCCCTTTTAGGATCTCCTTCGGCAAGTGGAGCTGGGAGTGGTGCGGAGAACGTTGGAGTTGCAGGCGTCGAGCTGGCGTTGCCAGCAAGTTCTGCTGTTGGAATGCCGGAGGAGCCCTTCACAGCAACGTCGAAGTCGGAAGGCTCTAAGATGGTGCTTCTGCGTCAGGAATATCTTGACGCAGAGAGTGACATTTAAACCCGGCTCCAAGACATGGAAGTTACGATAAAGGCTATGCTGGATACCTTCCGGACCCAGAGAGCCGTAAACCAAGTGGTCAAAAACGGCATGGCCAAACTAGAGGATGACCTTGGATTCGTTTTTGCCTGCCGGGTGGTGAGCAAGGCAGCCATGGAGAAGATTGCCGAGAAGGTTGTGTCTCTGTCTGACGAAAGAGCGCTGCCTTCTAAGAAACGTAAGAGGCCATCCTCGTCGGACAGTCCTCAAAAAAGAGAAGAAGGCGTCCAGACCAAAAGGACCACGGTGAAGGCCAAGGCGTCTCAGACGGACCTATTGTCTGCTGTGCCCAGATCCTTTTCGGCTATAGCTGCAGCTTCTGTGAAGAACCAGCAGCCACAGCTACCTACGACCCCCCCCCTCAGGGAAGTTCCCGAAAGGGATCAGTTGTAGAGACACCTGAGGCTGCGTGGGAAAAACGCCGTTCCCGAAAGGAGAAGAGGCAACTGAGGCGGGCGGAGGTCGCCTCTATAAAGAATGTGGCAGTGAAGGCACAGCCGACTGGCATTGCCCAAACTGGGCCCGGCTCGGTCTCTGCTCCGAAAAAGTCCCGGCCAAAAAAGCCCAGGACGGACGCAATTCTGGTCAAACCCTCAGGGGGGAGATCTTTCGCCGAGGTCTTGGGTGCAATTAAGGCCAAGGCTAAGCCAGAGCACACCGATACGGTTGTACGGTCGATTATACGAACCCGGGACGGGGACGTTCTCCTTGAACTGGGTAAGTCGAAAGACAAAGCAGCCTTTACTGCCGAACTGAAGGCAGCTGTTGAAGGCCAGGGCACCGTCCGTGCTCTTGAGCCAAAGACATCAGTTGAGGTTCGAGACATTGATTGTGTGTCGACGGAGGTTGATGTTGTTAAAGCCCTGAAGAAAGCTATCCCCGAGCTTGGCGGGCAAACGGCTTTTCTTAAGGTCAGGCTCACAACACAGAATAGGAGTCAGCAGCGGATGGCGGTCACCAAGATGGCAGACGCACATGCCAATAAGGTGCTGGCACTCAAGCATCTGAGAGTCGGCTGGGTCAACTGCAGGCTCAGACGGAGAGTGGAAGTAAAGAGGTTTTTTAAATGCCTCTGTTTCGGCCATTCCTCCCGAAACTGCAAGGGACCCGACCGAAGCAAGAACTGCCTTCGGTGCGGGGAGGTCGGTCACATCCGTAAGTACTGCCAAGTTGAGTCCTGTTTCCTTTGCAAAGAAAATGGGCTCGCTGATAAACACTTGAAGCATATAGCTGGGTCTGGACAGTGTAGTGTATTTAAATCTGCACTACAACAAGCGAAAGCCCTCCCACGAAGATAAGAATCCTTCAGTCCTTTCCGACTGAACTCAGCCGTGGTCGCTTCGGGGGACCTGTCCCCTCGCCAGTTTGGATTCAGGATGGGGCGATCTACGGTTGACGCTGTTGAGGAGGTGAAGCAAGCCGTGATGAGAGCTGAAGATTTTAACCACTACTCTCGTAGGGTTGTGCTACTCGTAACTCTCGATGTGCGAAACGCATTTAATTCCGCGAGGTGGTGCGATATGCTGGATGCTCTGGAGAACACCTTCCACGTTCCGGTATACCTCATGCGTATCATAGAGGATTATCTCCGGTTCCACCTCCTCATGTATGAAACTACAGAGGGCCCATGGACGATGAGTGTCACTTCCGGTGCTGCCCGAGTTAAAGCTCAGCTCAGCTAAAAGCTCAGCTCAGCTAAAGCTGAACCGAGTTATGCGTACCACAAACGCATGGATGACAGACCATGGTCTCTCGTTTGCTTTGAGCAAAACTGAGATCGTAATATTAACAAAAAAACGGATTGACACCATCGTGCCGTTGAGGGTAGGGGCCGTCGAAGTTCAGACCGTTCGTTCTGCCAAGTACCTTGGGGTTATGGTGGACAGCAAGCTTAGCTGGCGGGATCAGATTTTCCGTATGGCGGACAAGGCTGCTAGGGTGGTCTCCTCTCTTAGCCAGTCCTCGGTCCAGCCGTAGAAGGCTGTTAATGTCTTCTGTCCAGTCCGTACTCTTGTACGGTGCTGAGGAGTGGGCAAACGCTCTCAATATTGCATGGCAACGCTGGTGGCGCTGCCTACGGATTGACAGGCAAAGCTCTCTCAAAACGCTTAATGCTTTTTACCACGCGGTTGGCATTCTGGGTTATAGTAGTACGTTTTCTGTGATAGGATGCGGCTCGCCCGAGTGCAGCGTCAGGCAGCACTAAGAGTTGCATCCGCCTACCGAACAGTGTCCGAATCCGCTGTCCTGGTGGTTGCTGGAGTCATCCCCGTCAAACTTTTGGCGGCGGAGAGAAAGGCAATTTATCAGCGCCGTGGGGAGGACCAGGCACGAACAGAGGAACGCACCCGCACCTACCAGCTGTGGCAGGAGAGCTGGGAACAGGAGACTCGGGGACGCTGGACCAGGCGACTGATACAGCAAGTCCAACATTGGGTTAATCGGTGGTGCGGAGAGGTGGACTTCCACCTCACCCAGTTTTCGGGTCACGGCTTTTTCCGGTGGTACCTGTTCAGGATAAGCAAAGCCGTGTCACCCAATTGCATATACTGCCCAGGCATTCCCGATGACGTGGAACATACCTTTTTCCACTGCCAGCGTTGGGAAGGGCCCCGCCTGGAAGCTCGACAGTTAGTAGGACTGCTGTCAGTGGACACGGTCATACCGATGATGACGGAGGGTGAGGACAATTGGACCTGTGTGTCACATTACATCCAGGGTATTCTCCAAGAGGCTCGACCTTGACCGGGATGCGGTGTAGGTCATAAAGTATCTATATGCCAAAAACGGTGAGAGCCCTGAGGGCTTAGGTCACATGTTGGCCTGACTTGAAGTAATGTGACAAACAATTCCAGGTCTGTGTCCAACAGAGTAGAGGGGGTGTTTTTGTGAGTAGTCTGTGATAGTTTCAGGAGTCTCACACTACAGGCTGGCTACCTGTGTGCGTAAAAGCATTTTCCCTCCTCTCCCTTAAAAAGTCAGCTATGGAGTATCAACCCCCAAAAGGGCCTGCTCAAGCTCTCTATCCCGAAACTGGTTATAAACAGGACCCAACAACTAACTCGGGGAGAGGATTTACACCCCAGAAACTGCGAATAATAAGTGTGTGACACAATAAAAAATTAAATCTTCCAGATCAGGAGACAGAACCCTTCATGTGATAACAGAAGGAATTGTCATCACGCTGGACAATTCTCTTCTCTCGTGAATGTAGGTAGACTGTGCTGCGGTTACCATGGTTTCCATTTGTCTATGATGTAGGCTACCTAAAAGAGATATATGTAGATTCTGTAGAACAGAGGGAAAGACTTCGAATAGCAAATACAGTGAGGCGGAAAACTATCGAGGGGCATGGAGGAATCGGGGTACTCCAGGTCCCCAGAAAGGAGGCCGATAAACCCCAATAAATTAGTCAATCAGAAAGGCAGTTGAAAAACAATGCAGTCACAGACCCTAGAATATTTCTGGATATTAGAACATAGAAGGGAAGATGTTTAGGGAACTACTAGACACCGGAGCAGTTAAAAACTAAGCTAGTAAATTGGTAGCTTCAACAATAGAAAAGTTAGGAATTTGATACAAATCTGAATATAATAACCATGCCACTTTAGCTGATAGCAAGATTGTTCCAATAGCTCGTTCTTTTGATGTAAGATGTAGAATCTATGAAACAGATAACGATATTAAGCTGTTTATCCTCCCCGGGCTAAATTCTGACATAACTATTGGTCTAGAAACTATGAAGGATTGGGGAGTTATGATAGACTTGAATAGACGTGTAAAGTAAACAGGTGTATTGGGCCGATACAGGTACTCCGGGCTGTAACTCTTTCAGTCACGGGAATCAGTAAATGTAATAAAATCCCTTTCGTAAGACGAACAAAAAGCAGTTGCAGAATTTCTAGATTTAGAATGGCCGAAATTCGACTCCATTCAAGGGCCAATGCATCTTGTAGAACATACACTTAGATTGAAACCTGATGTACAACCAATCAAGCATAGTTACTATCCCAAAAACCCAGCTATGCCACAAGTAATAAATGAAGAGATTGATAAAATGTTAGAAACCGGAGTTATTGAGCCAGCAATCAGTCCTTGGAGCTCAGTTGTAGTGTTAGTAAAAAAACCGTCAGGTAAAAAAATCAATTCTGCGTTGATTTGAGATCAGTGAATAACTCTACAATTAAAGACGCGTACCCTCTGCCACAAGTACAGGCAATTTTGGATAGATTGAGAGAAGCACAGTGTACATTGCTATCCTAGATTTAAAAGACGGATATTGGCAAGTACCCCTGGAGAAAAATAGTCGGCCCCGGACGGCCTTTACTGCACCGGCAAGGGGACTGTTCCAATTTAGAGTAATGCCCTTTGGGCTACATTCAGCCCCAGCTACTTTCCAGAGACTGTTGGATACAGTTTTAGGGGCAGGTCTTGAGGATAAAGCTTTCGCCTATTTGGACGACATTATTATTGTTAAGGCCAGATTTATTTTAGTTTCAAAAACATTTTATTTTAATCCCCTTTGCTTGACCAGAATAATTTCATTTTATTTCCCCAATACCTACAGCCAGTTTACCTATCCATCCTATAACCAGTATTCAAATTTGCCGCCATACCCCACTACCTCAAATCAAGAGTCACCTGGGAAGAACACTGGGTCACATGACCTCACTTCTTCAACATGGCTGGAACAACAGGAATCTACAGTATGAGGTATTCCTAATTTTAGCAATTCCTTTAGTTTCGCCACCTCCTACTCATTTTAATCATTCCTAATCGCTTTATTTTCATGGTCCTTCGAGTCTGATTCATAAATTTTCCTATTATTCCTGTTTTTTACTTCAAAAATTAGCAAAATCAAATCTGGCCTAGCTTTACATTCACTTGCTTATTTAAAGACTATTTGAAGAAGTATTTTAGTTATCAGCAGTTTTATTATCATTTTTAATCAATTTGCAATCAATTTCCACCAATTAAAATAGTTTACATCAAGATTTATTAGTTTTTTGGCAATTTGATTCACATGTGCAAGATTGCAGGATAATTCAGGAGTTTTGTCAGGATTGCAACCTGAGGGAAAAGTTCCCTGGAATTACCCACCAAGATTCCCCACAATTACCCCACAGTGTGGGAAATTTCCCCAGAAATATCCCTTTTGGGTAAAACTAAAGAAGAAATTTCCCAGATATGAAGAATTTATGCTGATTTATTTAAGTTGCTAAGAATTATTCTTTTTAAAATATTTGTTTGATACTGACTGTTTATTTTCACCATTTTGCATAAATATTGAAGAGTCTGGCACTTACAATAATATTGTCACTGGTTGGTTTACTGCAAACAGAGATTGCCACTTTAATAATTTTACAATTACATGCAGATTAAGAATACTATTTATCAAGACAACATAATTGAAGTTTTCTGCAATACTTAACAAATTATTTTAATTGAATTATCATACTCTCAGTCAAGTGGTAACTTATAAATATTTGTTGTGGAGTTTTTTTGAGTTTCTACAGATCTAGGCTATTTGTAAATGACAATAAATAGCATTTACAATGGCAGAGGCCAAACTAAAGAGAGATATTGATCTTCTGATTTATAAAAGAGATAATATTGTTCAAAAAATTGAGTTTTTGCACAATCAAGCTGAAACTTTGTCTATAGAGGCTAGCCCAATTGAATTATCAGAGTTCAAAGTTCGTTGTGATCGTCTCCCTGCCCACTATGAAAGTTTTGAGCGTTACCAATCTGACATAGTGAAAGGTTATGTCCAGCTCAAAGATACTTCTCAGCTGGAGGGAATTCTTGCAAAAAATAAGGTTGTAGATGAGAAATATTTTTTTATTCTTGCTACCAAAGACAAGTTTCTTTCACCTCTTGTTAGACAGGAAAATGTTGAAAATGTTAAGCCTATCGCCTCCACAGCTGTTAGACTCCCAAAAATCAATCTACCCACATTCGAGGGAGTTTTGAAAGACTGGCCTCATTACAAGGACCTTTTTCTTGCTCTTGTTCACAATAATGTATCGTTATCCCCTGTAGAAAAACTTCATTTTTTACTTTCAAGTACAAAGGGTGAACCACATACCTTGGTAAAAGGCATTCCCATTTGTTCTGACAACTATGAACTTGTTTGGACACAGTTAAATGAGAGATATGATAACAAAAGGTTGTTAGCAGCCAATTACATTGATGAAATTTTAAGTCTTACCCCCATCCATTTCGAGTCTCCTAAGCCATTAAGAACTCTACTGGACACACTTAATGAGAACACTTCAGCCTTAAAGCAAATGGAGATACCTGACAGCTTAGGTGAATTTATTATTCTGCACGTAGCTCTGAAAACCGTGGACAGGCATACAAGACAGTTATTTGAACGCAAGTTCTCTAATAGGGAATATCCCTCCTTGTCCGATTTCATTGAATTTCTAAAGGAACACTGCAAGTCACTCGAAGCTGCAGGTGAGACACAACCTAACCTAAAGTTTGGACAGTATAAGGTAGGCTACAAAAATGCTCCAAACAAGACTACCTTTCCAAGTGCCCCGACCAAAAGGGTATTTGTTGTCAATAGCCCTACTACCAATCAATCTAAACCGCCAGTCACTTGTATTTCATGTGGTAGCCAAGAACATAACATTTATCGTTGCCAATCTTACTTAAATTTGTCTCCAACCCAAAGAAGAGATCTAATCAAATCCAAGGAAGCATGTTTTAACTGTTTAAGCATATCACATATGTTAAGCAAATGTCGTTCATCCCGCACATGTTTCAAATGTAGAAAATCACATCACACAACGCTTCATGTTTCTTATCCAGAATCTGATTCTTTGGTTAAGGCTACGCCGACATCAACTTCTAAGCAAGAAGAAAAATTATCCCCTGCTCCTACCTCTGCATTTACCTGCATTAGGCCTACATGTGATTCAAGCCCGAAAGACGAAACTTACTTTAAGCCTACAACCATTCTCTTAGGTACTGCCATTGTTCGCATTCTAGATGTTTGTGGTAATCCTCAACAGGTTAGAGCATTAATTGATGCTGGTAGCCAAAGTTCCTTCATTACTGAATCATGTGTCAGTCAGTTGTGTTTACCGAGACGGAAAGTTGTTCAACCAATTTTAGGATTGTCTGAAGTGTCTGTTTCCAGCAACAAAGGACTAGTACCCTGTGTAATCAAGCCTTTGCATCAAGATAACCCTTCACTGAGAACGGAAGCCATTGTTTTAAATCGGATCACTTCACCGCTACCTTCTACTGCTCTTGATGATAAGGTTAAAATGTTATTTCAAGGTTGGGATTTGGCCGATCCGGAGTTTTACCAACCTGGAAGAGTTGATCTTCTTATTGGTGCTGATTTGTTCCCACAGCTTTTTGACGGTGGGCGGCGTGATACGCCATCTGGATTCCCTACTGCCTTTCACACCATTTTTGGATGGTTGCTCATCGGTGAATCACGTTTGCCAATTCCAACGACTCAGTCCGTTTCTGTTAATTTAGCTATATTAGACCAAGTATCACTGGAGTCGAATCTGCGCAAGTTCTGGGAAATTGAAGAACCCCCGATGAATCATTGCCAAACTAGCCCAGAAGATGAACGATGTGAGTCAATCTACGCGTCAACAGTTCAAAGAGATTCAGCTGGTCGTTTTGTTGTTGACCTGCCCTTTAAAAATGATTGTCCCGACCTTGGTGAGTCGTACAGCAGAGCCAAGCATTGTTTTTTATCTCTGGAAAGAAAATTCAATCAAAATCCTGATCTAAAAGGAGCCTACTCAACATTCATGAATGAATATAGAGATTTGGGTCACATGTCCGAGGTTGTAAACTCTGTAACACCAGCTTACTACATCCCGCATCACGGAATCTTCAAGAAAAACTCCTCTTCGTCAAAACTACGAGTAGTATTTAATGCATCAGCTCCAACCTCAACTGGAAAATCACTAAATGATGAATTGTTAATAGGTCCGAAGCTTCAGACTGACATTTGTAAAATTCTTTCGCTTTTTCGCCTTCACTTGTATGTATTTACAACCGACATTGAGAAAATGTATCGTCAAATACTTGTCAACCCGCAACATAAGTCTTTTCAAGCAATTTTGTGGAGAGATAGCCCAGAGAAACCTATGTCTACCTTTCTTCTCAACACAGTAACCTACGGTGTATCAAGTTCGCCATTCTTAGCCTTGCGTTCTTTAAGACAGCTGGCTTTGGAAGACTCCGAAAAATATCCTCTTGCAAGTGAGGTTATTTTAAACTCAATGTTTGTCGATGATGTCCTTACAGGAGGTGACTCACTTGATCACACCCTGAAAATAAAATCTGAACTAATCAGTCTCTTAGATTCTGGTGGATTTAAACTTAGGAAATGGTCCAGCAACAATCATAAAATATTAGAAGATGTTCCATCTCATGATCAAGAATTCATTTTTGGAGACGAAAGCTCTGCCGATCCCTCTATCAAAGTCTTAGGCCTTAAATGGAATCCAAATTCAGACAAGTTTTCTTACGATGTTCACATAGGACAACCACCTTCTACCAAACGTGGCCTATTGTCTCAAGTATCCAAGGTCTATGACCCGCTTGGGTTAATTACACCTGTAGTCCTTTGGGCAAAATGTTTGATCCAAAAAATTTGGACTCTGGGACTCGACTGGGATCAACCGCTGCCAATTGATATTGTTCGTCAGTCTTCCAAGTTTTTTGAAACTCTTCCTCATCTCAGCAACTTAACCATTCCCCGACTGGTTCTGCTTCCAGAAACCACTGACGTTCAGCTCCATGGATTTTCGGATGCCTCGGAAGTTGGCTACGGATGTGCTATCTACTTAAGAGTTGTTAATTCTGATGGAAAACCTCTTACCAACCTTATTATGGCAAAATCCAAAGTTGCACCCTTAAAGAAAATTTCAATTCCTCGCTTAGAGTTGTGTGGAGCAGTTTTACTTAGTAAAACAATGTTTTTTTGTAAAAACATGTTAGCCTACAAATTTGGAAATATACCCACTTTCGCCTGGACCGACTCTCTAGTAACACTACACTGGATCCGCACCGCACCTCATCAGCTCAAGACTTTTGTGGCTAACCGGGTCGCTGAACTCCAGACTTTGCTCGAACCCGCTTGCTGGCGACATACACCGACAGATACCAATCCTGCTGATTACGCATCAAGAGGCCTACTACCCCATGAAATCTTAAGAAATTCCCTATGGTGGATTGGACCTAATTGGCTCATGGAGGAACCAATGTCTTGGCCAACTCAACCTTTACCTGCTCTAACACCCAACGAGTCACTGCTTGAGTTTCGCCCATCTGCGACATGTGCACTAGTTGCCGCCAAAGACACAAAGAATGAGTTCACTGCCTTAGTTGACAAACATTCACAGTTCACCAAACTACAATCTTGTATTGGATGGATATTAAGGTTCATACATAATTGCCAAAAGAAGAAAGAGAAGATTACTGAACCATTTCTTACTTCTAAGGAACGTGCATCAGCCCTACACCTACTTGTGAAACTAACTCAATCAAGTTACTTACCTGATCACATTGATAAACTTGCCACTGATCAGACATGTCCTAGTCTTCAGCGGTTAAGTCCATTTTTAGATGAACAAGGACTCATTCGTGTGGGTGGACGTTTGAAAAATTCCCAGCTACCATACAATGCTAAATTTCCTATGTTGTTGCCAAAACAATGTCACTTAACCAACCTACTTATAGACCACTACCATCTCAAGCACTTGCATGTAGGCCCAAGAACCTTGCAGTCACTACTGTCTCAACAGTTTTGGATTATTTCAGCTAGGCAAGTCATCCGTCATCGATTATCCAAGTGCCTAGTTTGTGTTAAAATGAAAGCTAACTCCATTCAACCATACATGGGTAACTTACCTGGCTCACGAATTACGCAAAGCCGCCCTTTTCTCCATGTAGGCATTGATTTTGGTGGACCCTTTACCACAAAAACGGACAAGTTGCGCAAACCACAGTTACTGAAGAGCTATGTATGTTTGTTCATATGTTTTAGTACAAAAGCAATCCATCTCGAGTCAGTCTCGTCTCTCTCTACGGAAGCATTCTTAGCTTGTTTTGATCGATTCGTCTCAAGAAGAGGTCTTTGTGCACATATCTACTCAGACCAAGCAACTAACTTCGTGGGAGCAGATCGAGAACTCCAAGAACTTCACAGTCTACTTCACAAGACTCCAACTTCAGATGCCGTTCTTTCAAAACTCGCCCAGATGGGAATCAGCTGGCACTTCAACCCACCTGCTGCACCACATTTTGGCGGACTATGGGAAAGTGGAATCAAGTCCATGAAGTATCACTTAAAACGAGTTGTTGGAAATCAGATTCTAACTTTTGAAGAGTTCTCAACATTATTGACAAAGGTCGAAGCAGTCCTCAATTCTAGGCCTCTGTGTAGTCTTTCAACTGATCCCAACGAGTATGAGACTCTAACCCCTGGACATTTTCTCATAGGAGAGCCTTTGGTAGCTATCCCCCAGACTGATTTAACAAACCTTCCACAGAATCGTCTTTCTCGCTGGCAAATGATCCAACAGGCACAACGATCCTTTTGGAAAGTATGGAGTCAAGATTACTTGCATCAGTTACAACAGCGATACAAATGGACACGAGATTCACCCAATTTGAAAATCAATGACTTAGTCCTAATAAAGGACAAAAACCTTCCCCCTTTGAAGTGGACTACAGCTCGTGTCATCCAGACACACCCAGGGAAAGATGGCATCGTCCGAGTCGCCACTCTGAAGACACCAGCTGGACAACTTCAGCGACCTGTCGTGCAGCTGTGTCCCCTTCCTCAAGAGAATTAATTTGTTTTTATTTGCCAAGAAGATGTTTTTCGTTGTGTTTTTTTCCTTTTCAAGAAATTTTGAGTTATTTACATAGAACTATGAGACATAAATTTTGTGTGAAAAAGACTAAATCTTTTTGGTGGGCGGAAATGTTAAGGCCAGATTTATTTTAGTTTCAAAAACATTTTATTTTAATCCCCTTTGCTTGACCAGAATAATTTCATTTTATTTCCCCAATACCTACAGCCAGTTTACCTATCCATCCTATAACCAGTATTCAAATTTGCCGCCATACCCCACTACCTCAAATCAAGAGTCACCTGGGAAGAACACTGGGTCACATGACCTCACTTCTTCAACATGGCTGGAACAACAGGAATCTACAGTATGAGGTATTCCTAATTTTAGCAATTCCTTTAGTTTCGCCACCTCCTACTCATTTTAATCATTCCTAATCGCTTTATTTTCAATTATATTTGGTAAAACCTAAGAAGAACACTTGGACAACTTACACAAAGTGTTTGATCGGCTAAGGCAAGTACTGCTGCGCATAAATCTTGAGAAATGTAAGTTTTGCCAAACAGAATTGAAATAACTCGGCCATGTCGTGAATTCCCAGGGCATTATAACGGATCCAGATAAAGTTAAAGCCGTGGTCAATTACCCAACCCCAAAAAATGTGAGAGAACTGAGGGTTTTTTGGGTCTACCTGGTTGGTACAAGAGATTCATACCTAATTATACTAAGGTAACAGCACCTCTCAATTATCTGCTCTGTAAAAGTGTAAGATGGAACTGGACAGAGAACATTTTTTCGCTTTTGAGGAACTGAACTGAAATCCAGTTGGACGAAATCACCAATACTCGCCTGCCCGGATTTTACTCAACAATTCTATATACAAACAGATGCATCTGAGCTAGGGCTCGGAACAACATTGTTTCAGAGGAAGGGCAACAATGAGTATGTAATAGCCTATGCCAGTAGAAGCTTACATGATCATGAAAAAATACTCCACAACCTAAAAAGAGTGCCACGCAGTGTTGTACGTCCTTAGGAAGTATAGACCCTACACCGAGGGGTATCATAGTAGTGATAACTGACCATCAGCCATCAGGCTCTCAAATGGCTACATTCAATGATAACTCCCTCAGGTAGAATAGCTCGTTGAGTGCTAGAATTCCAACAGCGCGATTTCGAAGTCGTATATCGTAAAGGAAGCATATAATAAAGTAGCGGATGCTTTGTCAAGGAACCTACCCGAACCACCTGGGAAAAGCGAAATTGAGGTGCAAACTGCTACAAAAGTGTTAGACATATCCAACAAATGCAGAATGGATTGGTATGACAACATGATGCAGAAAGTTTCTAGGTGGCCCGACAAATATTCTTGCTTTAAAATTATAGATGGTAGACTCTTTAAGCATATTTGGAATAATGTAGGACGGGGAGAAACCCCCACTACTTCTCCTTGGTAACTGTGAGTCACGAAGGAAAACAGAGCAGACGTCTTAAAGCAAAACCATGATGATCGTACAGCCGGACATTTAGGCATAGCAAAAACATTTGATAGAATTGGCCGCAATTATTATTGCCCAAGTATGTTCAGAGAAATTGCATGGCACGTTAGGAATTGTTCCTTGTGTCAAGAGTATCAGTACCCTAACAAAAAGATTTTAGGGTAATGCAATTTAGGAATTTAGTCCAGGACCTGACTAGGGTTCTGTGTGCATGTCGTGTATAGTGAATTTTACTTTTGCATTTCAATATAGGTGTCTTAGGAAGTGTTTTCCACTCGGGTGTCAAGTTCGCACCTGGTACGTTTTCGAGCTATGACGTCATCAAAATGGCGGCCATTGATTTTTTTAAATTGTATATTTCGCAAACTATTTGTCGGGTCGGAATGAATGTTTTTTTGTTTGAAAGATAATTTTAAATGCTAACTGTTTTACATTTACACATTTGTTGTATGTTTAGTACATTCTTCGTAATTTTGCAAAAACCTGTATTTTTAAATATTTTTGAGTTATTTTTGTTTGTAACGTTTTATTGATACAATTTATGAAAAACCACCAATGAAAAAAGTTGTAGAACATTTAAAAATCTTTACAAAAATACCAAATTCGATATGTTTTACTCAAAAGATTACGTCAAGAAACTAGATAAATCTCATAAAAACACCAATTTTGGCGCAAAAACGCCTATTAGTCCGGCATCTAGGGCAGTTCGCAAGTCTTATAAAGACAGTTTCGCCATTCAATGTTGATGTACGTGTCTAAATAAGTGTTTTTAACTCGGGTGTCACGTCTGGACCCACTGCAGTTTCCGGTTATGATGTCTTAAAAATTGCTACATGTTACGATTTCACCAGCTATTTTACTTAAAATAAGACCATTACCCTCTTTTATGCAAATAAAAGCACAACAAATCAATGTAATTAGTCCATAGGAATGTTTCCACTATATAAATACCCCCGGTGCAGCAATCCTTTCGACTAAGCGAATTTCCATTTGCATGGATTGAGATTTATATGCGTTTTTGCGCAAAATTAGGTTGTTTTGTACGATTTTCTAGTTTCTTGACGTGATCTTTTGAGTAAAGCGTATCGAATTTGGTATTTTTGTAAAGCTCTTTTAACGTGCTACAACTTTGTTTTTAAGTTATTTCTGATATATTGTATCAATAAAACGTTATCGACAAAAATAACACAAAAATGTTTAAAAATATAGGTTTTTGCAAAATTACGAAAAATGTACAAACATAAAACAAAAGTGCAAAAGTAAGAAAGATAGCATGTAAACTTATCTTTCAAACAAAAAAAAGTTCATTCCGATCCAATACATGGTATGTAAAATATCGTTATTTTTAATATAGCCCTTTCCGCCATTTTAATGACGTCATAACCGGAAACTGCAGTGGGTGCAGACGTGACACCCGAGTTGAAAACCCTTATTTAGACACGTACATCAACATTGAATGGCGAAACTGTTTTTATAAGACTTGCGAACTGCCCTAGAGGCCGGACTAATAGGCGTTTTTGCGCCAAAATTGGTGTTTTTATGAGATTTATCTAGTTTCTTGACGTAATCTTTTGAGTAAAACATATCGAATTTGGTATTTTTGTAAAGATTTTTAAATGTTCTACAACTTTTTTCATTGGTGGTTTTTGATAAATTGTATCAATAAAACGTTACAAACAAAAACAACTCAAAAATATTTAAAAATACAGGTTTTTGCAAAATTACGAAGAATGTACTAAACATACAACAAATGTGTAAACGTAAAACAGTTAGCATTTAAAATTATCTTTCAAACAAAAAAACATTCATTCCGATCCGACAAATAGTTTGCGAAATATACGATTTAAAAAAATCAATGGCCGCCATTTTGATGACGTCATAGCTCGAAAACGTACCAGGTGCGAACTTGACACCCGAGTGGAAAACACTTCCTAAGACACCTATATTGAAATGCAAAAGCAAAATTCTCTATACACGACATGCACACAGAATTCTAGTCATGTCCAGGACTAAACCTTGGAAGCAAACACTAAAAAATCTTCCTGCACAGATTATGAAAGTGTCAATCCACACAAAATTTGTAAAACACCACCTATTTGCGAAGAGCAAGAGATTGCAATTGGAACTCTTAGGAAGCCGCCAATTAGCGCCAAGCTTCTTCTTGAGGGAGAGACATTTGAAGACTTTTTCAACAATAACATTGAAGAATTTCTAAAACAAATCAAAGAAGAAATTCGTGTCCTTCCCAGCAAAGAAACACAACTACTACAGCCGCAATATGAAGAAAATCAACTCCCACTAGTTCTATCTCCGTCAGTGAAAGATAAATCCAATCTAGACACAGCAGTCGAAATCGTAGAAGACAATCATTATTTTTTAGGACAGAGCCACAAGATAAAGTCAAAGTTAAAAGACCCAACAGGGTTCAAGAGAAGTTTTATAAATTCAGCGAGAAAAATGCCAAAGGTTTAACTATTTTCCACCAAAATACAGACAGGATCAGTAATAAAATTGAAAGAATGAACCATTTACTCCACTTAACGAATCCAAATTTAGTAGTGATCACCGAACATGGCCAAAACGAGAATGACATAGCTAATACCAGGCTTATCAACTACAGTCTTGTCTCGGCTTTCAGCAGGAACAATGTGATGAAGGGAGGTGTGGCCATATACAAACATGATAGCATAAACAATGATATAATCTCATTAAACCTTGAGCACTTTAGCACCCCTTTGATTTGTGAGGTAACAGCCATTTCGTTTGTTATAAGCAAGAAGTCACGCTTGAATGTTCTGGGTGTTTACCGCCCTCCCAAGAATGATAAGGAATCTTTCTCTCTTGCTCTGCAGACACTCTCGAACGTGCTAGACGAGTGGACTTCAGCCAACAACACTACCGTTATCATCGGGGATTTCAATGTTGACCATCTTCAACCATCCAATGAGAGGACGCTTCTCAATGAACTTCTAGCGACCTATGACATTCAGAGATTGGAACTTCCTCCTACCAGGATCACCAAGGACACATCGTCTTCCATCGATATGTTCTGCATCTCCTCCCAGCGCTTGGGTGAAGTGGATTTTCAGGTGGCTCAAACTGGAATTTCGGACCACACAGGACAACTGTTCAACCTATTGCCTGAAATCAGAGAAAGTGTGCCTATGACGGCAACCCTAAGACACATCAACAATGACACTTTACAACATCTGAAGATTCTTCTTGCTGAACAAGATTGGAATGAAGTGCTACAATGTGGCAACGTCGAAGAAGCTTACGACAATTTCATCACGACTGTGACGCTCGCTTTAAACTCAGCTTGCCCTGTTAGGAGATCCCGAGCGAAACCTCGCAGTACTGTTAAACATGTTTTTGATGAGGAGGCTGGCTTACTGAAGACACAGTACCTCGAAGCGCACAACATCTACATCTTGAGTGGGAGAAATGAAGACAGGGAAATAGCTAATGAGTTAAAAAGGTCCTATGACTTAAAACTGAGATCATTAAGAAAGGCAGCCAATGCAACCTACATCTCAGAGTCCAACAACAAAAGTAAAGCGGTCTGGAAAATTATTAACAGTGAAAGGCAACCAAAGAGAGAACCTTCAAACACAGCACATCTGAACATAGGCGAAACAGTCATTGATGATCCTGTTGATGTCTCTAATGAGTTCAACGCCTTTTTCACGTCTATTGCAGAAGAGACTCTTAAGAAAATACAGACTGAGAAAACGGATCACATCCAATCCCATGAATGGCAGTTTGAATATCCAACATCAGTGTTCACTCCTACATCGAAGAAGGAACTTGTCAAGATAATCAACAGCATGGAAAACAAAACTTCTTCCGGGCTGGATGAGGTGTCTTCGTTGATGTTGAAGCGATGTCATGAGGAACTTATAGAGCCTCTAAACCATATTATCAACCTTAGTTTCAACCAAGGCCACGTCCCCAAGAAAATGAAGTCATCCAAAGTGGTCCCTCTTCACAAGTCGGGAAGTAAATACGAGCTGGGCAATTATAGGCCTATTTCCTTGGTCTCAACTTTCTCAAAGTTGATGGAGAAAGTGGTTCTATCCAGAATAGTTGACCACCTGGAGAGGAATGGCATCATCTTGGATAAACAGCATGGCTTCATCAGAAATAGATCCACATCTACCGCCTTGGTTTCTCTAGTTGAGGATGTGATAGACAAGCTTGAGGAGGGCCAAACCATCATGGGCATATTTCTCGATCTAAGTAAGGCCTTTGACTGCCTCAGTCACAGTCTGATCCTGGCCAAGCTCACTGCCCTTGGCTTTGAGGAGAGAGCCCTTGCATGGTTTCAAAGTTACCTAAATGGTAGAGATCAAGTTGTGGAAATCAAGCAAACCAAGAACAATATATGCACCGCTGTGAGATCCAGCAAACTTGCAGTCAATAGAGGTGTCCCTCAGGGATCAGTCTTAGGCCCTGTGCTGTTTGTTCTATTCACGGCCGACTTTCCCGCTTACACAAGTCCTTTCTGCAACATGGTAATGTACGCTGACGACACGGTGCTCATCACATCAAACAAGGATAAAGAAAAGCTTGAAGTTGAATCGTTCATTGCCCTAAACATGGCTGTTGAGTTCTGCAATATGAACGACCTAGTGTTCAACGAATCCAAGACCAAGCAGCTCAACTTTGGAACGCTGATGGAGGAGGTGTCTGATTTCCCCGATATTGAACGGGTTGAGGCCACAAAACATCTGGGGGTGGTGATCGACAGCGCGCTGACTTGGTGGGGACATCTGGATGGGCTCTGCAGCAGCCTTAGTAGTGTTATATTTGCTCTCCGAAGAGTGAAAAATATAAGTACTCCGGAAGCTGTCATGACAACCTACAACTCTTTGTTTGAGAGCCGGCTGCGCTATGGGATTGTTCTTTGGGGCGCCACTTCGCAGAGCAATCTAAAGCGTGTGCTCACCATCCAGAAGAAAGCGGTTCGGATGATTGCTGGTCTTGGTTGGAGGGACAGCTGCAGAGAGGCCTTTAAAGACTTGAAGATCCTAACTGTGGTAAATATTTACTTACTGGAGGTGATCTGTGTGGCTGTCTCAGCAGATCCGCAACGAAACAGAGATGTCCACTCCCACCGCACTAGGAATGCCTCAAATTTCAACCTTCCAGCACATCGTACGGCAAGATTTCAACGGAAGCCTACCTACGCCGGAGCAAAGCTCTTTAATGTCCTGCCGGATGAGGTGAAGAGGACTAATCCCGATAAGCTGAAGAAGATCCTGTCTGTTTGGTTGCTGTCACGCCCATTCTATAACATCGAGGAGTTTAAGAACTGGAAGAATGACTCTGTGTAAAGCAAGATCATAATACTCTTTTCTAATTTTGTGTAATGACACCATTTTCAATCTTGATGATTGTAAAATAAAGATTTCTCTCTCTCTCTCTCTCTCTCTCTCTCTCTCTCCCTCTCTCTCTCCCTCTCTCTCTCTCTCTCTAAATCTTTCCCGGAACGTACACCACTTTCAGTGTTCGTTTACGATTTATTCAATCTCTTTGCTTTATCTTTAGGTCTAATCACATATTGTTTGGTATCATTGGAAAGGGTATAGAATCATCTGCAACTTTTGCAATGGGTGGTATTTGATTTTATCAGCGGTTAAGAAGTTATAAGCAAAACAATAAATATAATAATAATAAAAAACACGTTTTTTAATATAGTGAGATAAATATTAAGTTTACAACAAAAGTGTAAATACAAGAAAGATAGGGTGTAAAAATATCTTTCAAACAAAAAATAAATCATCCTGATCCATTAAACGGTTCGCGAAATATACGCATTCAAAAATTGCTGAGCCGCCATCTTGATGACGTCATAGCTCGAAAACGTACCAGGTGCGAACTTGACACCCGAGTGGAAAACACTTCCTAAGACACCTATATTGAAATGCAAAAGTAAAATTCACTATACACGACATGCACACAGAACCCTAGTCAGGTCCTGGACTAATTCACAAAATTCCTGGTACTGTGTGAGTACAGATTTAGTTGGTCCCTTTCCTAGATCAACAAAAGGTAATAAGTATCTCCTGTTGTTTCAAGATACGTTCACTAAGGGGGTGGACTGGGTCATCAGTGACATGCCTAACCAACTCAACAGGTAGGGAGTTATTCTACCAACAGACGTGGCACAGGAAGACCGGGTAAAATGTCGGCGCTCCCAGAGAATGAGTTAACAGACTTGGAAGAAGGAAGACGGACGAGCGATATGGTGATAAGTACCTACTTAAGCCACAGACAATATAATACTTTAATGTTAATGGTTTCTGTTGTCTGTGGTTAAGCCTACTACAAAACAGAGGCAATAAAAAGGCACGGCCCTCCATACTTCCCCTCAACTCGCATTTTATGGAGAAGCTGCTAAAAAGTTCCCCAGCAGAGACGTTACGTTGGGTGAGGAACGATGACGTTTTTTCGTTCGACATGCTACTCATCCCCTATTTTCTCCAAGAATTGCAACATTTGGTTCTATGTATAATAGACTTCCAAACCAAAGAAATCCTGGTGTAGCCTACATGGCAATCATACAGGAGCTGCAAATAAACTGTTGACTTCTTGCGTTATGTAGTGGTCAACAAACACAAGATAGTGTTAACTACTAGAAAATGGAAGATTAAAGATCACATTGGGCCACGCCAATTTAACAATCTGGACTGCGGGGTATTTCTTTGTCCTACAGCGGAAGCATACGCCACCGACCGAACCATAGGGCTTACTCAAAGAGACGTCCAGTGGTTGAGACGGACCATGGTCGAAGAATTAAAAAGTGGTAAAATGGTTTCTCACCAGAAGCCATCGCCACAGATACCCGGTGTCAGTCTCCCATCAGTAAAGAAAGGCCGGAGGAACATTGAGAGGCGCACCTTCCCCATGTTCACTGAACTGACTGGACGGATGAGAGATGCAGAAGACAGGGCCACAAGAAGAGGGGACGAGCGGAAGACGGCAAAAAGAAACCCCCAAAAGTGTTACCATTCGTCACCTTCCTCCAGTACAAGTTCCGCCAGCTCATCGGCATCGGACAGTTCGTTCGATACCACAGTTTCGTCAACGTCTACAAAATTTGAGGCTGGACCCACTGACCCACTCCTATCGAGAAGCAACCAGGGTACCCTCTAGAGGTAGCATCGGGGGAGGGCGAAGGCAGTTGTTAAAATACAAATTTGCAAAAAGAACTAGACGCCATAGTCAATGAGGTATTGGAGGACAAAGGAGCTATAGCAATGTCAAAATTGATGACCCAACTTTTGTACAGATTGACAACGACTGGGAGGTTCTGGTCATTTCGGAAGGCGCTGTCACAGTGGAAGACGAATACCCACCAACCCCTGGTAGAACCATAGGTATGACCCTTCCTCCTTCAGACTCAACGCATTGGGTAAACTACGTAGAAGTAGACGAACGTTCAGTGGCGAAGGCAATCCACCCAGCGGAAGAAAACCAATCAATTACCAAACGAGTCGTAACCGTGGCGGGAAACCTCCCGACACACATAAGCCCTATAATGGTAAAGATACCTCTGATCAAAATTAAGTCAACATCAATAAACAGGGGAGTCAGACTGAAATGGAAGAAACAAAGAAAATTCAGAGACAGGACTGCTGGCGTAAAATACTGGAAGTCTGAAGATATTACTAAGTAAAGCTAGGAATATTAAGGAAAACAGGTTTATTGGTAGAAAACTAGAAAAGGACACGTCATGTGTAGAATTGTTATTAAAATCTAGGTCTTATCATGAGACCTATGGTAATAGCTTATTCCCTATATGGGAAATTCGCTAAAAAGGTTTCTATTTAGCCTCCTCTTCCCGTTGCAAAGCACGGGTACAACTGCAGTAGGAAATAAATCTAAACCTTTTTAAGGTACAATTTTAGTAGAAATCTATCCATAAATGGAAATTTGCTTAGTCTGCAGGTTTGCTGCCACGGGAGTATTTTATTGATCTCATCGTTTGAGCAATCCGTATGAATAAAACAATTAATTTTATCTGCAAACAACTGTATCGATAGCCAATTTGAAAATACAAAGACATCCAGTAAAACAATTTCAATAATTCCATTGGAATAATAATTTTAAATTGTTCTTTAGAGAATTTTTATACTGTACAGGCGTTAGGCCCATTATTGTTATCAGTATGTATCTCTATAGTACTGTATTGACCTTTACCATGCAATGTGAGAGTGGTGGTATATTCGTTCCTACTTGAACAGTGTTAAAACCAAAGCTGGAAGTAGGGAGTTCTGTTTTCCCCACGCCGGGTAGTGGCAGCACTGCTCACGGCAACGCGCCGCGCCGCGCCGCTCCCGCTCGCCGCAGTTTGGTTTGGCGCTTGGTGTCATCAACATAACGTCAGTAGTCTCGTGTTAGAAAGTTCGAGCCGGCCGGTCACATGTACGGACGTCAAGGCATGTCAACACTCTTCTTCCGAGTGACACTTTACAAAGTGCCTCGTGGTGTTAAATGTGTGTAATGCGGGAATTTGTGTTTTTAGAGATACGATTAATCTCTAAACATGCCGTTCGTCCAGCGAGTAGTGCAACCCAAATTCCTGAGTCGGATTAATCTTCACGACGATGGCGGAAAACCTAAGATCAAGGACGGGGAGTTGGAGGCAGTGACGAATTTCACGTTGAGCAGTGCTCTACGACAACTGGCATCCGTTGTGTTAATCGCGAACGACATCTTCGAGGGTTTGAACAAACAGTTGGAGGATGTCTGTTGTCGCACGGCTAAGTTGCGGACGAGGATCGCGGCCGTGGATCAGGCGGTCTGCAGCTACGATCCAAAGATGGTTACAGTTCGTAAGTACAGTTTATTATCACTCAAAATACCTTCACACTTCCCAGAAAAACATCTTGCTTGTTGTCATCAAATTATTATTATTACTACAATCCATTGTACCTAGGGTTTTGTGAATGTGTACTTAAGTATCCTTGGCAAATGGTGTTGTTCTTCATCTCAATCAAAAGTAACTACAGTATTAACACCTCCAAAGTCTCCGAGGGTTACATCATGGACTAACCAACAGTTGTAGTTTTTATACACAATCAGTCTTCGGTTTTATTTTTGTCGTTATGTTGCCTTAAATTTGAGCTCTTGATTGATTAAACTTTTTCATTACTGAACTGAACAAACTACTATTAAACCGGTTCAATCGAAGCTAAGTATGAAATTTAACCCTTAAACCCCAAACTCGGTAAATGGTAAATGTAAGATATTTGTATGCCATTTGTACTTGCAGAATGATGAATTGATTAGATGATCTTAATAGTGCAGTGGGTGTCTCATTCTTCTGCGGTAATGTATTTTTCTATCTATTAGGTTTCTAAACATCGCAAGTGCAACTAAGCTAAAAGGGGAACCTGGATAGGCCTATATCGGATTTGGTGTTTTGGGGAATCCCTCGCTGCTGTGACGGGACAGGGAGGACCATAACGTCGGAACGGTTCTATTGAAAGAAACTGGTTTGGGTTGGACCAGGTAGGTAGTTCATATACACACAGCGCCAGCACTGTTTTTACATTCCTTCGGTTCCAGGCCCGCCTCACACATCTTGACACGGAACTTGCTAGTTTTCAACCTTCCAACACCAAACATAACCTGTCTTAAAACTTAAAAATCGTTCCTAGAGACTTAACAATAGCAGACCGATAGAGATCTGGAACGATTCAAACTTTGCAATTACATTGACAGTTGGCTTGACAGGACATTGGAGCAGGTGGCAGGGGTGGTATGGAGGTGGATGTGCACTAGGCCGTTATAGCAGGTGTTGCAAACAGCTGATTCCGTCCAACTTCCGGTTTCACCTCACTTTCACTCCTTGCTCCCGAAACGATCACAATTAATTTTGCTACCTACCTGGATTTTGCTATCAAGCTTTTCCTGGACATTTTTAATTCCATATTAACATTACACTACCTATATGGCATATCTTGTTGTTTCTATAAGTCTGGACTAGTTAATTATTTTCAATCCTATTTTAAATATATTTCACCAGTTGTTATGTTTATATTTTAAGATTAAGAAATTATTAAAAACAATAGACTTAATATTTCAATATCCTACGATTTATTTAATGAGTTACAATTATTTAACTGCGTACGTAACACAATAGTTTTAATAATCGTGAAGAATTTTTATATCGATAGACTACTTTATAGAATTAATTTACCAAAAATATCTAGTAAACTTTTGTAGGTTGATTTTCCAAATCGCCAGCTAACCGCTGAGTACAACAACATAATTAACTAGATTAGTCGAGCATGACGGTCGGTTTCTAGACAAGTTCGGTTACTTCTTTATTCTACCTAGGTACCCGCCGTTCCATTCATATAGCGACTATAAAAAGCTTTATTTCCTGCTAGTGACGGTTACACACCCCTCTTCTCCCTCGGCCCGACTTCCAGCTGCCAAAAAACTGCTCCATCCCCTTCGGGACATTTGCATACTCGAGCCTGCAGTCGCAGGGCTACACTTACAAACTGCGAAAGTTACGAGACACTAAATAAACAAATAAATATAACAAAGTTCTGATATTTCAATTTGTCCTATTGTCCACAATCATAAACTCAATATAAAAAAAAAAAAAAAAACTGCATGTAAATCTCCGTGTTTTTGTCAATCAGTCCGTGTTCCATCAGTCCGATCATGCTGGTTCGCGAAATCGTTTAAATAAATGTAGGTTAACACGTATACCTATACCGAATTTCATCAAAATCGGATAATTTTTGGTAGAGTTATCGTGCAAATGGACACAAATATAAATATAACTTATATTTAAAAAAATATATATACAAAAGTAAATTGGTCCCGAGCCCAGGTCTTGCCAGGAAACCTACGGTAATAGATTATTCACTATGGGAAATTCGCTTAAACCAAAAACCCAATTAATTAAATAAGAGCCAAAACCATTGCGAAAGCGTCCTAGCGCACAATGTTTTTGTGCATAATCACAGCCACCTGCATAATCCTCTACTATAAATTCCTATACTCGCTAAGGATGTATGTTTGCTGAAAACAGTGACAGCCTTATTTTATTTGTATTCTAAAAGAAATGTTCTTCAATATTTAATCTTTTTGGAAAACATAGAAATCGGATAACAATGATTCACAGCTTGCAGTTTCATTTTACACATGTGTCAATATTAGAGAATGGTTTGGAACAGAATATTTTTGCCCAGTTATCTCTGCTGCATGCAAGTTTAAATGAACCATTTAGGCTAGTTAGGATTGGTAATTGTGACGTATCATGAAGTGCCTAGACTGTCGGACTGCCAGGCCCCATGGATCGTGCATCGAAAGGTCAGAAATCCAATAGCAGTGACATTACAGGACCGGGCTGGAGGGAGAACATTCCTAATTGATTCCAACCGGAGCGCCGTGAGAGTTTACGGGCCCATAGGAGACTAGAGTTGATTGGAGGGGCTTTGAGGCGCGGAGCCGACGGACGAGATAGTGAGTGGGATGCTGGGCCTAGCCAGGCACTAAAACATTCTACTTGTTGGAATAATATACTGATTAAATGGGCGTGATTAATATGGGTACACGTTTCTAACGCTAACCTAGGATTGAATCGATGTTATGTTTGGTCAATAACATTTTGTAGGCCTTAAAGGGGGTTTAAAGTTATAGCTTTGTGCCGGAGTTACTATAAATTATTCATAACGCAAAATTTGATAAATTGATGACTAAAAAACACTTATTTAAACACTTTATTTTCCATTAATGGTGGCCAAAATTATGTTTAGTAGTCTAAATTGTATATTAAAGCAGAACTTGACTTATCGACGACTTGACTTTATTTGTTCTTTTTTATCCATCAATCCATTTCAATTTCACAATATATAGGGACAGTGATATGTTGTGTTCAGTATATACAGCAGTTAAAGCAGCACAACATATGTTGTTGTGGACCCGCAGTGGAGTTTCTTGACTTTCACTTTCACCCCTTCATCTCACACACACAGTGTGTTGTTGTGATCACTAGGTATATATACATTAGTTACAGCAGCACAACATGAGTTGTGGACCCGCAGTGGAGTTTGACTGTCACTTTCACCCCTTCATCTCACACACACACAGTGTGTTGTTGTGATCACTAGGTATATATACATTAGTTACAGCAGCACAACATGAGTTGTGGACCCGCAGTGGAGTTTGACTGTCACTTTCACCCCTTCATCTCACACACACACAGTGTGTTGTTGTGATCACTAGGTATATATACATTAGTTACAGCAGCACAACATGAGTTGTGGACCCGCAGTGGAGTTTGACTGTCACTTTCACCCCTTCATCTCACACACACAGTGTGTTGTTGTGATCACTAGGTATATATACATTAGTTACAGCAGCACAACATGAGTTGTGGACCCGCAGTGGAGTTTGACTGTCACTTTCACCCCTTCATCTCACACACACACAGTGTGTTGTTGTGATCACTAGGTATATATACATTAGTTACAGCAGCACAACATGAGTTGTGGACCCGCAGTGGAGTTTGACTGTCACTTTCACCCCTTCATCTCACATACACATAGTGTGTTGTTGTGATCACTAGGTATATATACATTAGTTACAGCAGCACAACATGAGTTGTGGACCCGCAGTGGAGTTTGACTGTCACTTTCACCCCTTCATCTCACACACACACAGTGTGTTGTTGTGATCACTAGGTATATATACATTAGTTACAGCAGCACAACATGAGTTGTGGACCCGCAGTGGAGTTTGACTGTCACTTTCACCCCTTCATCTCACACACACAGTGTGTTGTTGTGATCACTAGGTATATATACATTAGTTACAGCAGCACAACATGAGTTGTGGCCCCGCAGTGGAGTTTGACTGTCACTTTCACCCCTTCATCTCACACACACACAGTGTGTTGTTGTGATCACTAGGTATATATACATTAGTTACAGCAGCACAACATGAGTTGTGGACCCGCAGTGGAGTTTGACTGTCACTTTCACCCCTTCATCTCACACACACACAGTGTGTTGTTGTGATCACTAGGTATATATACATTAGTTACAGCAGCACAACATGAGTTGTGGACCCGCAGTGGAGTTTGACTGTCACTTTCACCCCTTCATCTCACACACACACAGTGTGTTGTTGTGATCACTAGGTATATATACATTAGTTACAGCAGCACAACATGAGTTGTGGACCCGCAGTGGAGTTTGACTGTCACTTTCACCCCTTCATCTCACACACACACAGTGTGTTGTTGTGATCACTAGGTATATATACATTAGTTACAGCAGCACAACATGAGTTGTGGACCCGCAGTGGAGTTTGACTGTCACTTTCACCCCTTCATCTCACACACACAGTGTGTTGTTGTGATCACTAGGTATATATACATTAGTTACAGCAGCACAACATGAGTTGTGGACCCGCAGTGGAGTTTGACTGTCACTTTCACCCCTTCATCTCACACACACACAGTGTGTTGTTGTGATCACTAGGTATATATACATTAGTTACAGCAGCACAACATGAGTTGTGGCCCCGCAGTGGAGTTTGACTGTCACTTTCACCCCTTCATCTCTCACACACACAGTGTGTTGTTGTGATCACTAGGTATATATACATTAGTTACAGCAGCACAACATGAGTTGTGGACCCGCAGTGGAGTTTGACTGTCACTTTCACCCCTTCATCTCACATACACATAGTGTGTTGTTGTGATCACTAGGTATATATACATTAGTTACAGCAGCACAACATGAGTTGTGGACCCGCAGTGGAGTTTGACTGTCACTTTCACCCCTTCATCTCACACACACAGTGT